GATTCAGTTGAACATATTCGTAGATATTTGAATTTTAAACAGAAAAAAATGTATGACAATGAAGATAATAACGTATGTTCTGGTTTTTTGATAATATGCCTAACACTGTGAAACAAAAAATGATAATGAGTGATAATAACGATTTTTTGAAATAATATTTAAATACTCGTTATTAGTCGTTGAAAAAAAAGGCCATGTGGGGTAGATATATCCCTCATATCTCTCCCCGTGAATACGCCCATGCAAATATATCAGTGGGCATGATTGATAGATCGCCATCATATTTATTTTAAATATATTTATAAAATATTTGTAACACCTGCCACTTCTCGTTTTTATTAGCATTTATATAAACTTATTTTGGTGTAGGTGATTAGAATAGATGTCATATTACCTATCTACTATTATGTCCATAGTATGAACTACGAATATACTTTCTACAATCTACCTAATTCAATAAATGTAACATAAAAAAAAATGTTGATACTGGGGACGGATGCGGATGTTGTATATAGGTGGATAGTTGGAAAGGTAGGAATGTAGAATACATAAAGTTATTTATTATACCTGTAGTCAACGATCAATCATTGCTAATGAAAAACGATTTGGAACTTTCGAGTTCAGTTATAAATGTGTTGAAAGGTCATATTTATGATTATTGTCAAAATTTGATTTTAAAATTTATAAAACATAAAAAAAAAATAGGTACTATATTACATTCAATTTTTATTTTTGACCATTAATTACGACTTTAATGAACCTCCTGTCAAATTTCCAAGCCTTTCTATTAAGTCTGAAAAATTTTTTTACAAAGTAGGTGGAAATTAAGTAAAAACTCGTAAAATAAAAATATCTATAAATAGCTCAAAAACGGCTCAAATGTCTCTACGAATGTGTTTAACTGAATGGCATTGAATAAAAAATTTAAAATAATAAAACAGTTATTTTTGTACATTTTTCTGTTCTCTCTACATATTTTTTTTGGTTTTGCTCAATTTTTTAATTCTACAAAAAAAAATAAAAATACGACCTATTTCTTACTCACGAACTAGATTAAAAGTTAAACATAAAATATCTCTTGTCGTTTTTCGATTGGAGCAATATTTCTGGTAGAAAACATCGTGTATACAAATTTAAAATAATGAAATCGATAACACCGCGGCGTGCCGTACATTTTTACTGTTTTACCTAAAATATTTGTTTGATTTTTTTAAAATTAGTTTTAAAAACCCCTGGGAAAATCGTAAATGACCTGTCTAATGCACCAAATGGATAAAATTATCTTTCAGAAAAGGTGTACCGGAACATGATTTTTGGTAGAGAAATGTTTACATGCAGAAAAAATAAAAAAAAAGCGCACATCATAGTAAAACCAATAGATTCCTCGCTACGCATCGAATCTAAAATAATGAATAATTTTATCTGTACAATGCATAACCCTTGGCGTCCAGTCACAACGAGACCAACGAGTCCTATTATCGGGTGTGAGGGCACTGTGCAAATAAAAATTACGAAAGCGTTAAATAACGGGTGGCCCTCTCATGAGAATTATTATGAAGACGATGTCGACGATTTCCGAAAAAATTGATAACATTGTTAAAAATATGACGCGTACTATTATCGTGTATTTACACACGATGAAAAATCTATTCATAATGTCAATATCAAAACGATTTCGGCGTGCATGGCGTACCGGCCATTTTTAATAGTTCTATGTTCATTATTCAATAAAATATGACAATATACTATTATACTATAAACTGTTGAAGAGGTCAAACTAGTACCAGTGATAACGTTTGAGATATCGGATAACATCAAATGGCCATTGCACTACTGCAGGGAAAAATTTACTTTACATTCCTAAGTGAATTATCACATCTTATGTGATAATTAAATTAAATTCATTCAAACAATTTGGGATCATTGTGAGAACGTCAATAGCACTAATTATTGTTCCGTGGTGGCACGATCATCCACCACTGGGTAGTATTAAATTATCACTGTGGGGCACTAGTGCCACGTACTTTGTGTTTTAAAATATACTCTGACACATCGTGCAAACCATATTCGTAATTTCAAACTATAATTTAATGTGTTAACTACGGGTACCGGATAAATTAAATCTCATATATTTGATAATGCTGAACAACGATAACTGATAAAACTGTGGTTTCTATGCACAACAAAAAGAAGATCTGATACTCCTGATGGACTGTTATTAGTAGGATGTTGGAAAGGTAGGATACATAAAGTTATTTATTATACCTGTAACCAACGATCAATCATTGCTAACGAAAAACGATTCGAAGCGAAATTCGTATTTACATGATTTGTAACTTAGTAAGACAGTGAAACTGGTATTTACGATTTTCTTCAAAATTTGATCTTAAAAAAATTATAAAAAAAATGTTGTTACATTAGTCTATTTTTTTTTTTACCACGTTTTTATTAAAACGTATAATAACACTATTGAAATAAATTTTCAAGCATTTTTGTTAGGTCAAACATTGATATACACAGTGCCTATCAAATGAAAACTACATAAATGTCTATAAATAGCTAAAAAATCATTAAATTTGTTCGAACATTTGCAAACATGAAAATGTAGAAAATACAAATATAAGTTTTCTGTCAGAATTTTAAATCTCTGCGAATATTTTTAACTGGATTACAACGAAAAAGCAAAACTGAAAATAATACCTAAATACACTATTTTCGTAATTGTACCCGTTCTTTCTACGTTTTTATTTTCGGTTTAGTTTTATTGTTACAAAAATACTTGCAAATCAGAAAAACAACTTTCTTACTCACCAACTAAATTCAAAATGTAACAAAAAAGATTCCGTGTTGTTTTCCTATTGAAGTAATATTTCTGGTAGAAAACCCCGTAAATATTTGCTGTTTTTACGTTTTTTTTTCTTCTATTATTTCCAATTATTATGAAAACCCCTTTGAAAATATAAAAAATGACCTCCCGGTATACCAAATAGATACTATGTGCTACACTTGATACAATGAAGCAAGTTTTCTGTTCGAAAAAGTGCTCACAGACACACCAAAAAAAAAAAAAGACGGACATACTTCGCACGTGTTTGTAGCCACGGTTGTAGGTGGGAAGTAGGGATGGTAGGATACAGGCGGGAATTTAATGTAAACCTGTAAGCAACGATAAACCATTGCTAACGAAAAACAATTCTGAACGGAGTTCGGTTAATCGTGTTGCTTTTTCAATAATTTGTATATGCCATATAATGGTAAAATGATTACAACAACGTGCGTTTCCATAACAACGATTGTTTAAAAAAGATTTTTGAAATTATAAAAACTTAATACTAACAAAAAATAAATAAAAACGGTTGCCAACGACAACCTTATTTTTAATTTAAAGAACCAGGTTTTTGTCATAATCTCAAATATTAATAAGAATTTCAAAAAATGACCTATTTGCAGTAACTACCACCCAGAGAACATTTTCTTTCGGAAAAGGTACTATATTTGATAATCGGAGTAAGCTTTTTGGTAGAAAAAGTATTCATATAAAAAGAAAATAAACATTATTATAAAATCAATAAGTCCTTTACTGCGCTTCAAAACTGAAAAAAAAAAATCTATTGCAAATTTAGAACTATAAAGCGAATTAAAGGAGTATATTTAATGGTAATTCACTACATTATAATAAATGCATAGATAATATAATAATTCATAGATATTCCAGTTTAAAATCGGAAGTCTGGATCGTATCAATGAAATATGACAATTTAGAATCACAACGTTTTTTCACAAACGTTTTTAAGATAAATACATTACCTCCGTTCGGGACGGCCCTTTTTGTTACGGACAATAATTACTTATCTATAGAATTTGACTAGTCATAGGCATATCACTATATAAAAAGAAAACGTTTGTTTGTATGTTAATAAAAATCTCGAGAACTGTCTAACCAATAATTATTCTGATGACATTTTTTGGTTCGATTTCTTATTGTTCTCGGAAGGTTATAGGCAAATTATAGTAAAAATCGATATTTTTGTTGACAAAACAACATTATAAGATAAGATGCGCAAGAACGTTGTTAGTAAATGTGATATTATTGATAGCCGTAAGAGGGTTAGGGTGAAATGGAGTGGTAGCTAGAGGGTTGTTGGGAGAAGGAAAGGGCCGCGGTAAGAGGGTTACGTCCACGGGAATTTTATTTGTTACGGGCAACGGCGTGTGGGACAGCTATACAGGTATAAGTAGCTGAACGATATTACCATAAGCATAGGGTGTTTAAATATGTCGAGCTGTTGCACCGCTCTGCATATTTAATGCGCGGAGTCTGGCTTAAAATTCTAAATTCTGGGGTTAAGCTTTCCCCTTAACCACGCGTATGGATATTAAACTCTAATTAAAAATATTTGATACCTGACCATCAGGATGATAATATAAACCTTTTTTCAGCGATCTACCCGACAACGTGCAATTTTTCACACAACTAAACTAGGGGTATTTTTCAATTTTCCGGAAAACTCGAAAATTCCGGTTCCGGCGATCGTAATAATTACGTATTGAGTAGTCGATAAGTACCGAATGTCATACATTATTGTTTAAAATGATGATCAATTTCGTTCAGTTTTACGTAATTTTTTCGAGCGCGCACGGAGGTGTGTTCGCGCCTTGTTAGTTGTTCAGCTGTGCCGCCTGGTGTCGCTGCGGTAGCGCGTCAAATGCGGCTGGCGACTGCTAGTTAGTTGCCGGTCGCGCAGGGGATATCCCGGAGTGTTTCCCAACAACACCGCTCCCCACCCGCGCCACACCGGTCCGCGATCCGGACCAACACGTGTTTATCGGGTACCGCGCACACGGCGCGGCGGCGGACGGGCGGAAACGGGCGCCACCGCTGTGCGCAAACCCGCGCCGCACCCCCGGCCGTTAGCTAGACGATCGGAACGCGACCCCACCACTACTCGCCAGGCCCGCAAGTCCACTGCCACACCGGTCTCCACCGAGTGTGCCTTTCCCCGCACGTACGTACGCCGCCGACGCTGTGCTCGACGGTCGGCCACTAGTAGTAGTAAACACTTGTTCAGTGCGTGTGCACGCTTCTTACGTCATTAGTGGTGCACTACACTAGCTGATCAATTTTTTTCCCGTTTTGTTTATTATCATTATATACACACACACACACACTCGTATTTACTTATTTATGTTTTTGCTTATCCGTTATTTTTCGATTTTCTCCAAAATAAAAAAAAAAACGTTGGGTATTTTTCCCGTCGTCAGTGTTTTCGTGCGCCCTTTTTTTTTTTTCCGAATAATTCGTATTCATTAGTACATTACTTACGATATTACTGTTATTGTTATTATTATTATTTTTTTTTTTTTCCAAAATTAATGACTCCGGAGTTATTATGGATATAAACGGCGGTCGTTGCGAACAACAATCCGCAGTGCTACTGCCCGCATCCCCCGTGATTTTGCTGGGAGTCCGGGATCCGGATGTCTTTGGAATGTGAAATTATGCCGCGAAAAAGATTTCCAGGGGAAACCCCTGTGCATAAGATATGTGAGTATTGCGCCCGCCTACGTTTTTATTCAAATTGCAATAGTTGACCCTACGATTCGTAGGCGCGCGTTAATGGTGTTGTTTTTGTCGCGCGCAAAGAAGTCCAGTGCGTCTTGGATGGACGTGTTTATGAATCGAAAATAATCATTTTCGGGTACAATTGTCCGTACGCGATACGGTTGGGTCGTATTTCCGACAGCCCCTAGTAATTATAGCTATCATATTTTAATAATAACGTTGGACCGCCGTTGGACACTGGTATTAACCGTTTTGTCCGTCAGATGGTACTAGTCATTACGATTAGCTTGTGCGTGTATAACAATTAATAATATTACACGGTAATCACGAAATGCGTGTGTTTATTTTATCAATTCGCGCGATTTAAATTCGTGTCACATATCGCTGCGCAAACGTAAATAACAATAACACGTCGTTTACTTTTTGGATTTTCGAAATAAACAATACGTTCCGATCTTTAACCTCGCCTTTTTATCGCTCGTCCGTATCTCATTCGCCGGCGCAGGGTAATTTTCGGTTTTCCTCGCCGCCGCCCCCCCCCCCCCCCCCCACCCCCTCGTCGCACCCCGTCCGCCCGTTCGCCCACCGAAACAACAACAACAACAACAACAATAAATAAATAAACGGTATATTATTATTGTATAGTTGTTTTGGTATATTATTATGTTTTATTATTGTTATTATATTCGGTTTTCGTTACACGCGGGATATTGTATAGATACCGTAGAGTATGCACTGTACGCGGAGAAATGTGCGGATTCCCCCTGACCCGCCGGGCCTTGTCCCCGTCCGCTCCGCTGCTGCCACACCGTCACTTCTGTTGTCCCCCGCTCGGCTACCGCGCCACATCGCCCTTCACCACTATTCCTCCGGTCAAACGGGTCACGAGGAGTCCCCGGCGGAATCTTACTCACAATATGTACCCACGTTGCCGCTGTGCGCCGCGCGCGCGTTTGTATATAATGTACACACGCACACTCACCGTCCAAAGTACGTGTATTCATATATATATATATATATATATATATATATACGTATATATACATACGTAATATATAATATGTTTATATATAGTGTCGTAGTGTTGTCCCCCGCGTCTCGGCCACGTCGCCGCAGTCGTCGGCACCAAGGTTCCTTTTATTGCGTTATTGGCATATCGCGTCCCCGTCCCGCCCTCGCAGCACCGCTCTATGTTGGCCGACCCGCCGCCGCCCCGGCCACCTCCGCTCGTCCGCCCGTAGCCGTTCTCGGGCACCGAGTCCCCGTTGCGTATGTGTGTGTGTGTGTGTGTGTGTGTGTACGCGAGCGCGCGCGCGCGCGCGTGTCTTGTCTTTCGCGCGTGCGCGTGCGAGCGTATCTCCGTGTTTACAACCGGGTTCTCCCGGGCACCTGTTCTCGCCGCTCGTTTACGCATAAATATCACGTTATTATTATTATTATTATTATTATTATTATTATTAATACTCGCTCGCGAACGAACGGTACGAATAACGTTCGACCGGAGACGCCCGGCGGATACGTCGTCGATACGCGGCCACCGCGTAGGTACCGCGCGCACACACACACACAACACAACACACACACATACACACAAACACACACACACACACACACACACACACACACACACGTCTCCGAACCGTGCGCGCGTAATTGTTACCGCGTACGTACGTATTTGTGCCCGTGCGTAGTGCGCGTAAACAATTATTGTTGTAACGCGGAATAATTATCGTACGCGTCGGTCGCAATGCGATATTTATTATTACGCTGCACGATCGCCAGTAATAACGCGCGCCGGAACAGCGGTTAGGCGTATCGGGTGGGGTGGGGGGGGGGTGTGCGGAGTGGGAAACGGGTGTATTCTAACAAGTGGTTTTTTCGTATCGGCCCGATGAGTAATAACAACAATAATAAAACGCGTACGCCGAAATACTGTCGCCGTTCAATTACAAGACGGACGACGATAATGACACAAATAATAATAATATCATTATGACCTTTTTGTTTTCCGCGTGATTCGACACACACGGCCGCGAGACCGCGACGTTCGCGAATGTCAATTGTTATTCCTGGGAATCCGGGAACGACTCGTGCGGCGCACGGCGGTCCAGCGGCGTTCGGCGGAGGAGGAGGGGCGGCCGCGCACGTCGAATTAGTTTTTGATTTAATCATCGGAGATCAGCAGAGGCAGAGCGAAGAACGACGACGATTTTCCACTCGTCTCCCACGCAGATCCGCTAGTAGTAATTTAAAATGTTATTGCGGATAAATTCGAAATTGACGCGCGCGTTGATGACCGTCTCCCCCACCCCTCCTCCTACTGTTGGACAGTGAAAATAAAGTTAACACGATTAACAATCGAACCTAATAGTTTTCGAGCGCGGAATAAATTGTTCCAAATTATTCTTATCGATAGTTGTTAGCAGCGTCGCGTGCGAGAGCCGTGGCGAACGCAATACATTATCGCTCGGTGTGAATGTGTTGTGCGATCCGGGACGGTTTGCTCAGTATGGCTGGCGTGTGTTTGATACGGTTGTTTTTTTTCCCCTGCCCGCGTGTTGTTTTTTAAAAAATACGTGGGTCGCGCCGCGGTCGTTACGAAATAATATGCGTCTATTGCGTTCGCGGCATTCTGTCGAAGCATAGAATGAAAACCAAAAAGTACGAACGGGGTAAATTATCTCGAATCTCGTGTCGCTCACCACCGCCCCTTTCGGCCTATAACCAGCGGTATTGTGTAATTACGGGGCACGGATTTATGTGCTCTTGTAATCCGCTTGAAAATGTCAAAAAAAGCCCAGAAAACAAAAAAAAAAAAAAAACAACCAAAACGTCAGAGGGGTTTAAAAGTCTCCCTACCCCTTTTGATAATGAAATAATTTTCCAACTCTACAACGATGACGCTTAACACAAAAGCGATATTTTTCAAATAAAATTGCGCGTGTTATACGAAAAAAAAAAAAAAAACCATTTTTTCGGTGTCCCACAGTTTTATTTAATAAGATTAGAGGAGGCGGGGAATTTAAGGTCGTTGTTGCCTTTTAATGTTCTTGAGCGATTTCGAGCGTTTTTTTTTTAACCCGTCGTTGCCCGACTTATTTATAGCAGGCGTACGGGAAAAACGAATACAATGACGGCAAGCAGCGATATTATAACACAATCGTGCAACCACAGCGTTATCACCGTCAAACCCGTTATCAATACCAAGTGGATTTATTACGCGCACTCGTTATGTTATTATTGTGTTTGACAATATGTACCACCGACGCGTTGATAACGTTGTTGGGTTCGTCGATCTGTCGGCCGCCCGTCCGACAATACGTCAGCGGCGGATGTATCCTAGTTCCGAGGGGGGGGGAGGGGAGGGCGATGATTTTCGACACCGCGGAGGTCGATGGTGGTTTATTTTCTCTCCGTCGATTGTTTCGGACCTTCATTCCCCCGGGGTATCCGCGAATTACCGAAATTTCCTGCGTGCCCGTGGAAATTCTCCGGTCCTGTGTTGTCAGACGATAACCGCCGTACCGGTGACAATAATCCTCAACCCGCCAACCCGCCAATCCTCAACCCCTGACATCCGCCGAGGAAACCGTACCGACGGTGTCTCGTCGCCGGCGCGTTCAAACGAACGATCGTTTTGGACGCCGAGACGATCGGCCGTTAACAGCAGTGACGGACAGTGCGGCCGATTAGATGCTCGTAATTTATTCGGCGTTGTTTCAGTAGCGGGCCGTCGGTCAATAATAATAACGAATAATGATAATGTTCAACGACGGCGGTACTGTTGATATTGTTGTTTGTGCCCGCGCGTCGACATTTTTTTTTTTTCTTTTACGCACGTTCCGTCGTGTTTCCGCGTGAGTCAACGTATACATATATTAAAAAAAAAAAAAATTACGGACATAATTTGCACGTGGGTGCAGCGGCCACTGTTGATGGTGGGACGTCGCAGGGAAGGCAGAATATGCGGAAGGTAATTGGTCGTGTACCGTTGTGAGCAACGATGAAAACCATTGCTAACGGAAAAAAAAAACGATTCTGAGCGGAGTTCAGTCGATAGTGATGCTTAAGTAAAAAAAAAAAAAAATAACCCAAAGATTTATAGTTAATAGAATGTATTGAAATCTAAATTTATTTCATTTTAACATAGTACTGCTTTTTCAACAATGTGCGTTTCCGCGTGAACAATGACTGTTTAAAAAAGATTTAAAATAACACGAATTTAATTATAACAAAAAATAAAGAAAACCGGTTGCCAGTGACAATCTTATTTTTCAATCTTTCAATTTCTTTTAACCTAAAGAACCAGGTTTTCATCTTTATCTCGAATATTAATGAGAATTTCAAAAAAATTACCCCTCTGAAGTACCACCCAGAGAACATATTTCCCTTTCAGAAAAGGTGCTATACTTGATAGTCGGAGTAGACTTCCTGGTAGAAAAAGTGCCCGCATAAAAAATAAAACAAATAAACATCATTGTAAAATCATTGTAAAAAAAAAAAAAACATAAATTTCGATAATTTCTTTCGTGTTATTTTTATTCGGAGTTTTATGTCGAACCGAGCGCCCCGTAATTTTAAAAGCCGCGGCGCCCGTATCGCTCTCCTTAACAAGGCCTTGATTTTCAAACACCGGTTTTGTTTACATCCGTCCGTCACTCGTACAACGTTATACACGTGACGTTCATTTCATTGTATTCTGTATAGTTTAGGCATATTGTTACGTGTTCGGAAATCATTATATTTTTAATCGTTACAAGCCAAGTCACGGCGGTGGTGGGTAATTATTATTTTAATCGCCGTGTGCCGAAAGTAACGTCATTTCGGTGGGAAGGGTTGGATGCGACGGCACTTTGGTTGTTTGCCCAGGTCAAACGTTCGGCCCGTCGGTCACGAGTCGGAATTTCGGTTTCTGGGTTGTCGGGGCTTTGGGCGTAAAAATAAAAAAAAAAATAAACGTTTTGTACGACCCCAGTGGCGTAACCCGCAGGATTTATTTTTCGTGACGGGGAATTTCGAACCAATTTCTCGACGGGTTTTTTCGGACGGTGAATGGGTGAAGTGCATATACGGCGACGTATACACGTATTCGAAATTACAAATAAAATTTGATGACTTCTTTTTAGTATCATTTTACATTTAAATCTCCAGCGCGAATCGGAAATTTATAATAGTATACGATTCTGGTAAAAGCGCGATCGACGTTATTATTTATTTATACTGGCCTTTTGAACATTGTATAGTTACGTTATATTTACTTGTTACTAGCGGATTAGATAACATTCAATTTTAGTCTTTTTAGTCGATCGTTAACATTCGGTCGGACTGTATAAGTCACAATCGGGGCTGAATTTTGGGACGGGTGGCAAACGTTGTAATAAAAAAACGGCCAAAACGAAGTCGGATAATCTGTTTTATACCGGGCAATGAGCAATATTGTCGTTTAAAATTGTTTTATTTAAATCGCGTTTATACGATCTACCAAAGTGTCTATAACCTAAGCGTCCATCGGGAGCATGTATAATGGTGTTGTGACCGAGGAATATTATATATTGTAAACCAGGGGCGGTTGAACGGGGAGGAGATGAAAAAAATTAAAAATAAAAACAAACGGACATACATTCACACCATTAGTGGGACACTGTCGTAGGCGAGAAGTTAGGAAGATACAGAGGGGAAATTTAATGGATATCTGTACGCAACGATTAATCATTGCTGGCGAAAAACGATTCTGAGCGGAGTTCGGTTGTACGTGTTTTGAAAAGCCTTTAATGGATTTCAAAATAATGCATTTCGTAAATTTTCCAGGTTTTTCCCATTTATTACAAAAAAAACTCCCGGGAAAATCGAAAAATTACCTCCAGATCGAATTGCTCTCTGAGAAAAGGCGCTACACTCGAAAATCTGAGCAATATTTCCGGTAGGAAAGTCGTAAAACCAATGCGTTCCTCGATCCGTTCAGAATATAAAAACGTCGTGAAGCGTATTGCGCTTGACTAGTACTTCCGTCATGCACTCCTTATCAGACTACTATCAATAATGATTTGATTGTTTGGATCCAAACAATTTAATTGTACAATTAAAAACGTATACACAAACTATTTCCCGAGTATTTGTGTATAATGCGATTTGTTGACCATTGTTAAATAAGAGATACCCAAACGAGTTTGTTTGCAATAAAATAATTTTTTATGTACTCAAAACGTGTAGGACATAATGATTTTCGAGTTACTTTGCGTACGCACACGTTATCGGTTGTTTGGGTCCAGTCGTACTACTCGATAACATTACGACGTCACGCGTTACACGTGATATTATTATCCCTGTCCCCCCCCCATCCATCCATTACCGCGACAAAATAATTTGACCGCCGCCTTTGCGAACGGGCGTCACGTATTAATAATTATTGTTTATTCGGTAACACAATATAGACACGCCGCCCGTTATACTCCTCTATTATCGGTATCGATCACTGTCGGGCGAAAAAATTACCACCGTTGTTGAATACACGAAAACGTTGTTGCCCGTACACAAATCGCACAACACGTGCGCGATCGAAAATCCATTCGGGCGCGGCGGCGACGGTGTCCAAAGTCTTAACTGAATCGTCTGCCGACGGGCGGCTCTTATCGGCTCATCGCCGTCGAAAAAGCCCGCCGAACCGCGTAACGTTTTTTGGATGATATTACGTTTTTTTTTTTTTTGACGTCGCCGCCGGGGTTATCGGTCGTTGTTTCCTCTTCAACTCCCTTCCCCCCCGCCGTATTTGTTAAATGTCAGTCGGTACAACCGCACGCGGCTAAAAATAACAATTTAGGTAAAAAAAAAAACGGCCTTTGACGTCCGTTATTCACCGCGCGGGTATACGAGGATTTCGTTTCGCCCGTTCGGATCGCGCGTATTGTCTAGACACGAAACGAGTCGATTAGAATATTATTGACACTCGCGCCTACCGGGGGAAAAAAAGAATAACAACAAACGGGAATAATATGAGTTTTATCGACGCTGTTGTTTTCGTTTTCGACGGCCAATAAGTTTTATTGCTATTATAAATTTTAATTTTTTTTTTCTCTTCATTATTATTACTAAATTTAAATTTAAACAAAACAATTACTCTCACTCTACGACACGAGGTTCAACCCCGGCGTAGAGTAACCTCTAGTAATAATCTTTTTGTGCATTTCTTAAAATAGAACTTTAAATAAAAAAAAAATCAATCAGTTTCTGCAGTAATCGGTTCGTCTCGAAACGCGTCAAAATTCAATACCGGAAACTGGCGGTTTGTGTCAAAACGAACAATTACAGTGTCGCACTGGATCGCGCGAGTTGCTTCACTACAAACTGAACCCGCGTCGCGCATAATACGATCCGTACGAATATTCCGTTTTGTCCGCTATCGAAACCCAGATGTTTTCGTATATGCGTCAGAGCCGAAACGTCACGTCGTAGTGTTTAAAACTTCGAAATCATAAAAAAAAAATAATAAAAAACACCCGGACATACTTTGCACTTGATGCCACGTGGTGCGCTGTTGTAGGTGAGAAGTCGGAATACAGAGCGATTTGTACGTGTGCGCGACGATAAAAACCGTTGCTTGCGTTGAAAACGATTCGGGGCCAAGTCCATTTTACGCAGCACGTACGTAAATCATAAAACCGTTTTCCCGACCGTTATGAAATCCGGTTTGGAAAAGAGCGACTTTCCCCGACCGGTACCGTCCGGACAAAATTTCCTTTCAGCAGCAAAGCGAAAATCGGAGCGAGATATCCCGTAGCAATGTCGTTCGTTGCAGATAAGAGGAAAAAAAATCAACACCGTCGTAGTATTATAACCGATACGTTCCTCTCGCCGCGCTCCGAATCCAAAGAAAAAAAAAATAAATATCAAACAAATAAACTAAACGAACCGGCATTTCGATGACAGGTTTTTTCGTCGCATATCGTATTGGAAACCTGCTTTCCCGGGAGGTTTTTTTTTTTTTTTTTTACTGTCCGTTTACCCAAAAACGCGTCTATCGGAACGCGTGAGTACACGGACATTGTCCACGTAAACGTTTCAACGGAATTCTACGCGCGTCCTTGATTCGATTCGGATACCGTGCCATTACACAGGCGCATATCGTATACCTGTACAATAATAATAAAATTTGTATAATATTAAATAATAATAATAATAATATGGGATGCACGGGAGGGTGTTTTCTAAAAAAGGTGCGGCGCGCGCACAACGGGTTCTACGCACCGGATACGCGGCGGGTGGTGGCGCGGGCCGGCCGGGCACTCGGGGCGGGCGAGACGACGGCGTGCGCACGGGCAACCGGTTTTTGTTATCCGTGGACTGGACGGCGCCAGCCGGGCGGCACGCCGGCACCACCACCGCCAGCAGCAACGGCGTCGGCTGCGGCGGCGGCGGCGGCAGCAGGTAAAACGAGATTCGTTTTGGCCCCGGACCCGCCGCCGGCGCGGCGCGCGGTCGCGGCGATTGCGATTGTCACTCGCACCATTGCCGCCGCCGCCGCCACCACCGCCACCACCGCGCACCGGGTCAACGATACCATCGGCCGAGCGTCAACGCCACGCCCGTATTTCCGGGGAAACGGCGATTGGCGCGCGCTATATCATAATATTTCATACCTAAACAGTGCCCAGCGGTCGCTCGTTTTCTTCGCCGTGTTCTTCTTCTTCTTCTTCTTCGTCTTCGTCTTGAATAGCCGCGGTATAATAGCCTCTTCCCCGGTCCTCTGCCCGTACGAGTTTCTACGTCGCCGCGGCCGCTCATCCTGCGCAAGCGGCGCGTTGACATCCGTTCCCGCGCGAACCGCCACCGGCCGGCAGCTGCGCCGACCGTCGCGCACGGTCGTCGGTCCCCGTGTCCGTTTCCACGCCGCGACCACTACGGTATTTGTGTGCATTAGGTACCCGGAGTACGGTGGCGCCGGAGTTTCCAGGTATACGACAATAACGCGCAACCTATTGTTGTGCAATGCCGCCGGGGCAAAGGTAATTTCTCGTTCGACGCGTTTCTAAACTATCCTGTTCCTCCGCCGCCACCGCGTGTGCCCACTCAGGGTCACTGGTCGACAGAATTTTTCCTTTTTTTTTTTTTTTTTTTCTAAACGTTATTTTTCGTAAATAATAATTTCGTAATAACAGTTACGATTATGTACCCAGGATGTTTCTCACCGTAATATTATTATTCCAGTACGAAATAACACATTTTATTATACTCTGTCCAAAAGTAACGTACCTATAAATAATCATTTAGGAACAGTTCGTTTTCATTTTTGATATTCGAGAATCAATAGAGGAACCATTATAATTACACAAATATCTCTTCACTCCTCAGAACGTAATATGCCATTAGTTTTTTTAAATTTAATTTTCGAACGTTTCGAACATAATATAGAGCACTCGTTCAAAACGCTTCGCGACCCCGATAACTATCTGATTGTTTTGTTCATGGCAATAACGACCTCGCTAATAACGTATTACACTAATGGCGAACGGTCGGCAAACTTCATTATTAACCGTCGATAGGAAAATAAAAAAAAAAAAATTCGTACTATAATTTACGGGAGAAAACGTGATGAGTCTTACAAAATTTACGGTTTTTTCAAACCGTCCGTGATTCGATTGTGCGTCGTACTGTTTTGCGTGTGAAAACCTATTCATAATCAAATTTTCACCGTAGGAGAACGAAAACTTGTTATTTGTTCGATATTAAAAAGTTTTTTAAATTTACACAAAGAAAAGTGATTATTGTTTAAACATCTGACGGGCATAGATTTTTCTATCTTGAATGACTTATTAGCCATTATACCGAAAAACCAACAATCACTGTTGTCCTGTGCAAGCTCTCTTTAGTTTATGGTTTTCTTAGCACATAGCCCGAGTATAGCTTTTCATAATCGCTTTATATTTATAATATGTATAATATTCGTATCGTCGATTAGTAGGATAAATCGTAAATCAATCGATTAGTTTTCTCTTTTATAACGTACAAAAACATTATTTATCGTTAAATAAAATATTATTATAATCGATTATTATCAATATACAGAGAACACTTTTGCACGAAAGATAATTGAAAAAAAAAAACAGCAAAATGTCGATACTGTTCATTGGTAGGACGATGATGTAGTTGAGCTGGTAACAAACGTAAAACACGATTCTAAGCGTAGTAGTCAGTATGTTTTGCCGCGTTACAGGGGCGGAAATCAACGAAATTAATTAAAATTAGTTAGTGAAATCCGGTGGGAGGAATCTAGAAGTTTTTGTTTCGAATAAAGGACTGCCGTGTCGACATCTCGCGTCTTTTTGAACGTATGATACGAACAAATCGGAGCGTTTTTACTAATCGAAAAAGTGTTTTCCGCGAAAAAAACTTACACATGTTGTTCAGAAAAAAAAAAACGATAAGTGGTAGGAGTTAAGTATTTTTCAGTTTAACAATTCGCGCTGATATTTGAGAAATGACATTTGAGCAGTATACATATTACATTAAGACCAGCAATTTTTTTTGTGTTTTTGGTCAAACGAAATTTGACATAATAGTGCTGCATTGTAGACATATGTGTCTCCTATATTACGATAATTGATTTTGATTAAGTATTAAATAATATATTATGTATTAGCTCGTTAAATATTATTTTTAATAAATTAAAAAATGATACAAGGCGATTAACATAACGCAATACACTCTTTATCTAGGAAAGTATTAAATTTTTTTCGGAATTTGACTTTTTAGAACCATCTAATTAATGTTCTCGGGAAATAAATACTTAGCTCTAAAATTTTTATTGCCGTTATTTTTTTTGGGGGGAAGAGGAGGAGGAGAAGATGAAACGGCCTCCTAATTTTGATTTTTAAACGGCCAACTATATTAAAAATTCCATAAATAGATGAAATTTTAGTTCCTCTTATCGTGACAAAATTGAAATGTCTGGTTGACGGAAATTGAAAATGTCATCAACTCTTTTAACATGTATTTTAACTAAAAATCCGTATATTTGTGGCATTTTTAATTTAAGTGTTGCTATTTGAAAATAAAAAGTGGTTTCACTCACAAACATGATAAGGGTGACAAAAAAAAAAAACGGAAATGTAAAATGTTGTAGATCGAAGCAAAATTGCTAATAGAAAAGTTGTTCACAAGAAAAAAAAAAAAATTCCCTAATATTTTACTATACATTCGTATTCCCGTTTTTCCAATGTATTGAGAAAATCAAAAAATTACCTCTCTAAAGTACCGTACCACCCCAGTCAGATTTCCTTTCAGAAAAAGTGCTACGCTTATTGTAAATCAGAGCAATATTTCTGGTAGAAAAACTGTTCACAGATAAAAAAAAATTAACTAAACATCATTGTAAAACCATAAGCTCTTTCGCTCCACTCGGAATCTAAAACATTCCTAAAAGAGTTAATATTTCCGAGAGATAACGGGCGTCTCACGTAGTTATGTCGAACGCTCTGTATATATTAAAAATACAAATTTGCCAGTGTACTAACAATAATATTATAATATAATACTTATATTATTATCGGTTATACATACTGAATATTATTCGCTTCGTAGGTATTACGCATTTTAATTATTTTTGTTTATTCGATTTAAAATACACGTGCGTACGTATATAATAATAAATTCCCTTGACTTTCGTCCGGTTCTTTTATTGAACACAACTATTATTTTATAATCATTTGAATATTTTGTTTACGTGTCAAATTTTATGTTTATATATATAGGTACATGATAATATAGGTTAGGTTACTAATATACGTTACTGACTAAACGCTAAATTATTGGTAGAAAAAAAAAAAAAAATCGTGTCGTTATCACACGGATGATGTTTTCACTTTATTATGATGGTTACGGGCCGGTCCGTCCATCCATAATAATATAATTAAAACATTTTGTTATCCAACTCACTCGCGCGCCACTCATTTCACTTAATAGCTACGGTATTATTATAATATACAGTGCGTTTCACTCGAGTGGTAAAACGCGAATCGCGTTTCAGCCGGATGGACGCGTAAATTGAAATGGGTGTTTTTCTTTCATTTTTTAGGAAGTCTGAGTGTGGTTACCAAAATTCCGTCGAGCCGATTTCAGCGCTCGCGGTGTACCCAATAGAAATTACATTTTCTGAAAACAGAAACGCCTAATTTTTTATTAACTCCAGATTCGAATTGTCTTTTTTTTTTTTGCCTATGCAACTACGATTTTGTCCGTCTCATTTGACCCGAGAACGGCTGTATAGTTTATATCGAAAACAATTAATCGTACTTTTTAATGCATTTCAAACTGTTTTTTCTTTGTGTATTCAACCCTAAGGTCGATTTTACATACAGTCTTCTTTCGTATACATTTCCCGTTACTAATTAATCTCTTTTGGTCTATGTATAGCTCATATTAGTCCGTGGCTACGAACGACTTTATTGATGAAATTGTTGGGCTCGTCATCGGCCTCTTTTGTCTTCAATTTTTCCGTCAATTATTTTGTGGCGTAGCTTATCGTCATGTCTCATAGTGCTGCAGTGTCCAATTGATATCCGGATCCTTTTATTTATTCTCTGGATTCACCTGCAGGTATATTAAGTGCGCTGTCGTTGGTCTTTCGCCAACATTGTCATTCCCGTATCGTCCGTCTCCCGTCTCGGGCAATTCTTGTGACGCGCGAGCACGGGTTAGAATGTTGAAAACCGGCCCTCAGAACATGATGCAATTCGGAATCCACGTTTTTATTCCCTCCTTTCTAAAAGTCCGCCTGGTCGGAATATTTCATGTGTAAACTCGGGTTTATAAGGGCCGTTCTTAATTTTTATATAACGTTCGGTAGGTGATTAAGACTTTTTGTATAGTTTTCGAAATTAAAATCGACGCAGTAGAAATGTTATTTTACAATATATCACGATTGACCTTATGGCCATTTCCATTCTAGCCCTTTTCAGCACAATCGGGCCGAAACGAAACCTTTTAGAATCGAGCCTGCGCGGTTACATTTCCGCGGTTACCGTTCGCGCGAAACATGCTGTACACACACACACATACACACACACACACACGCACGTATATAAGGCAGATAACCGATAAGTCTATAAAACACGGTATTAATTTGTAATAACTATTAATAATAATAATATGTACTTGGCGTGTTCGTGGCATAACCTTTATCTATATTAGATAATGACTAGCTAATTAGGCGTTCGCGGTTCACGTAGACGCCTGCCTGTTGCTGCCCGGTCCAATAGCCCACAGACATAGTTTCACAATTACGCATCATTTTTTTTTCTATACATAATGTTTGTTTTAAAAATCCATTTTTATTTCGCAATCGTCATAATAATATTAGCGTAACGTGTAATAATAATATATATAGGTAGGTATATAAATATGGGTACCTACGTGTTGGACGCACGTCGCCGCGTTATGACGAAGGTCACCTGTTGTGTGTGTGTGTGTGTGCTGGTGAGCTCTCCGCTATAATAATATAGGTACCTCTAATAGGCGTATACGCATTTTGAAAAAAAAAAAAAAAAAAAAATTAAACCACTACTAACGAAAAACAATTCTGAGCGGAGAAATATTATTAAGCGTATTTTTTCCCCTCGTCGTTATATGGATAACCCGGATTAGTCGACAAAAACTATCTACGAACAATGTTTACGTTTTTCACGTTTTCATTAAGGAAACCGCGAGGAAAACCAACAAAACGACCAGATATACCCGTTACGTCAACTCAATATAAAAATGCTACAGGAAAGTTCCCGTACAGTTTTCGATCGAAGCGAGATTACGAAAAACCGTTTCCCGCGGACGAAAAATTTACACTTGCAATGCGCCTGCAGTCTAGAAATCGAATTTTCACAATAAAACAAAAAATAAAAAAACTTGCAACGTTGGTTTTAGTTTTTCGTTATTACTATTACGAAACGAGTTATTCGGGTTTTTAAAACTTAAAATTATCACAGTTTTAAACAATAATCCCCACCATATTATGCGAAGTCAATACCTTAAGTAATACCTATAGTTACGGGACACGTAGCTGATATTCAACATATTCTTAAACTTTGATTGCATAGTTGAAATTTAAGTACATCGTGTAATTACGTATTACACAATTAAAAATTTTTAAAAATCAGTGGTTTTTTCCATGCCTATTAATTATATTGATAATTTGTAGTAGGGTTATCAATATTATTTCATGCTGGTATCAGTTTACAATTATTGTTTACAAGGCAAAACTACACCGTCCGTTCGTTCAAAATAATGGAAAACTAAATATTATTCAAATTAGCAAATTTTATGAAATACGTTTAATCATAGAAACCTGTGCGAATATATTGTAAATATTTACGTGGTGGCTAAGTATAGGTAATAAACCATTTAAAGGTTATATGAGACTTCTTAAATTATGCTTATGAATAAATAACTTTTTTAGATTCTGAGCGTAGCGAGAAATGTATTGGTTTGTAATTTATGATGTGTTTTGTGTGTGTGTGTGTGTGTGTGCCTGTAGACAACTTATTGACCAGAATTATTGTTTAAATGAGAATTTTCGATCTAGTTGGTGCACTGAAGAGATTGTTTTTTTATTTACCTTGTAGTTTTCATTATAAATCGCATAAACTAGCAATTGTCGGTATAATTTTTGTTGATTTCCAAGTTACCTTGGCAAAAAAGAAAAAAAAATACGACTAATAATACTCGGTTCAGAAACGGTTTTTTTGTTAGAAACGGTTTGTCGTTGATATAAATTGAATTATTAGGTATACACCCTTCCTTCCGATATCCCATCTTAAACAGCGGTACACCGATCGGCGGTATCGGCCTTATTGGTTGTATATTAATAAAATTAACATTGTGCAGAGTTATTATAGTTCTGTTTTTTGTCTATTCGGTGAAAATTAGATGTTCTAATTAATATTCAATAAATCCGAGTATATATAAATATATATAGTTTTTTCCCGCGCAAAATAGTTTTTTTTTACAGTCGAAAGCACGTCCTCTAGAGTTTTTTCACGGCACGAATATAGAAAGTATAATCGGACGGCGAACACGATTACTGAAGGATGTGGGTGGGGGGAAACTCGCCGCTTACGGGCTATTTTTCGCGCCGCGACTCCTAACGAGATTTTTCAATAATTCGCTCGCACAAATCCGCGGCTCTATAGTAACTACGTATTATTATAATCATCATAACCTGCTGCTGCTGATGCAGTAAGTCCTAAACCGGCGGCAAAAGAGTGGAGGATTGTATGTATAGCTGTTGCTGCAGAGAGAAAGTGGCGGTTCACTTTTTCAATGACAACAATCTATACGATGATTTTGAATGTGAGGAACCTACTGTATTATTATTATTATTATTATACTCCTCAGGGACGATATTTATGTCACGTTGCAGCATGCGTGCGTCAAATCGAACGTCATCGTGGAATCGGTAACCGTAACTTAATGTATAATCTTAATGAATTGTGATTAAGCGAATTATTATTCCGTGTATTATACGAGTGCAGTGTACAGTGCATAATCGTCGTGTTCCGAGGAACATCGGTTGATTATTTTTTTTTTTTTTTTGTACATAATATATAGTGACCGATCGTATATTAAAATGAGACGTTAAATTACTTTTAGTTTTATTGATATTATAGATCCTAAAATATTATCTAGATACCTATTGGGTGCCAATATTATATTATTTGAAAAAAAAAAGAAAGTAGGATATTACATGCTGTTCACGGTTGAAAGCGGGAAGTTGGGAATGTATATACATGTAGGATATAATATTTTTAGTTCATATATTTTGTAATATACGATAAATCATTGCGAACGAAAAACGGTTTTGATCGTAGTTTGCATGTTAAACATATTTTGATAAATTCGAAATGAACATTTTATCAATTACAGAATACAAATTATACCAGAGATTCTCAAACTTTTTTTCGAGTATTACTCATATTAAAAATTATATAGATCTGTCACGTATCTTACGTACCATACTTATGACTAAAAATTGAACAATTTATAATGTCTATACAATACCAATTATTTAAACATGATTAGAGCATAAGACAGTAAAATACTACAATGTAATCAACATTATAAAATTAAAAATATAAATTTAGTATTAGATGCATTAAAGGCATTTCCGAACTACTATCACCTACTCAATACATCAAATTGGAAAAATTTGTTACCAGAAAAACACCACCGATGGTGATGGCCGAAGCAAGTTTTCTGGTGGAAAATTTGTTTAAAGACATTTAAAAGACGGATATACTTAACACGATGGGTGGGTCACCATTGTAGATGAGAAGTTGGGAATATAGGATATATAGGGGAATTTAATGTACATTCGTATGCAATTATTAATCATTGCTATTTGCTGACGAAAAATGATTTTGAGCAGAGTTCGGTTATACATGTTTTAAAAGACCGTAATATTTACGTTTTTCGTCAAAATTTGATGAAATGAAATAATTTATACGATTTATAAAATTGTGATATACATACCTACGTCATTAAACGACAATAAATTATAATGTTAGGTTATCTCCATCACACAAAAAAAAGAAAAAAGAAACAAAAAAGAATAATACAAAATTGAAATGGTGTGGGAATTTGAAAGCCATGTTAACTATTATTATGCACGCACCTAATGTAATAACATCTGTTTGGAAATGAAAATCTGGTGTACATATTTTAAAGCGTGTTTTTTTTTTTATATTTATTTCGATCCAGTGATTTTTACCGAGTATTTTATGATTATTTGATAGGTGCTTATCTGTTTTTCAAGCATTTTGAAATTTTTTAAGTTTTGATATTTGCCCTTTAATCACGTACCTAAAACGAATATTTACTTTTGATTATAAAATGTCAACCCTACCCTATTTTTAAACATTTCTTTTTCTTTGCCTTCATCCCAAAAAATTTAGGGTCGCCCACTATTGTTCTAAATTTCTATTTCTTCCGATCACCCATCTTGTATATACCGGCACTTTTTTTTCATTCTTTTTCATTTCTTCATTTTCACATTCTCAATTATATTCAATCACCTCTTTTTCGGTTTCCCTCTTCCCTTTTTTCTCCTACATTTATTTTCACTACAGTGTTTAATAGCTTAATAGCATTTAATGATTGGAATCCGAAAATCCGAATTTTTCAAAAGAACATTATTTAAGCCCCTTGAACATCTTATAAATATTAAACATTATTATAATATAATGCTGTGTACCTAAGTTAACTGTTTGGATAAAAATTCGAAAAAAAACTCTTAACTTTTAACTTTAAAATTCTTTCGGATTCCGAATTTTCGGGTTCTAAAAAATCCGAAAATCCAAAAGCAGTTTAATTTTTTGGTATTGTGTTTTATTTTTACATTTTTATAAAAGATATTTCATTCAGATACACAGCTTTATATTGTAAAAATATCTAACAAATTAATTTTAAGTGGGTTAAATTGCTGCTTTTTGTGAAAATCCGGATTTTCAGATTCCCATCACTACTAGCAGTACAGTTTTTACGGCTTCTGATTCCTTTCTATTTAAAACACGATTTTGAAAAAAAAAAATTTTTTTCCAATCATTTTTGATATGTTAATATCGGATATACCGTTTATGATAGGGGTTTTTAAACTGGTTACAGTGTACTTTTGAAATTGTTTTTCATAAATTGTGACGAACAACCGGTCACGGTGATCCGCACGTTAGGTATGAAGTCGTAACTTTTTTGATTATGACCTATAGATTTTGTACTTAGTTGTCTAAACAATGATGAAAAAAAAAAGTTTGAAAACCACTGGTTAATAAGGTGTAGATTTATAACGGTTTAAAATTTATACCGATGGATAGGTCTTATAAAAAGGTCGGAAGATAAATACATTTAATATCTGTTTTTAGGTGATATTTGTTTATGCTATACGGAGTGAGGGTCCAATTTTTAAAAGATAAACGTTTCCAGAATAACTGAAAAAAAAAACCAAAATACATTTTATTTTATATCTTTTGAGATCATAATGAACAAAAAACACCCTGTATATGGATTGATTTTTTTTACTTTCCCAATTAAAAAATATTGAAAACTAGTAAAACACGATACCTACGCGAGATTATGTTACATTTTGACATGTGTTCGCAAAATGAAAATAATATACTATGTTTAGGTATTTATTGTAACATTAATATTGTCATAATCGTAGACACAATTTTCAACAATTACAATTACCTATATTGTTTTATGTTTTAATAACATATAAAAAGTTAGCAAAGCAATATAGGGTAAGTCATGTAAGTAATTGAAATTATATCCGTACTTAACGATAAATCATTGCTAAGGGAAAATGTTTCTGAGCGAGTTTTGACAAACTTAAATTGAAATTCTGTGCCTTTGACGAAAATTTCAGATCTTAACGATTATTCTTAACTGTATTACTGGATTGAATTGTGTAAATATTTTGGTTTTTCAATGGATTTTTCTCAACTTTAAGAAAAATCAAAATCTGATCTTCCCAAAACACCAAATAGACAACAATTTTTTTCCAGAAATCGAATACCGAGGTTACAATTAATAATAATTCAACCTTAAATATTAATATTATAACGAGTGACTATTATTTGATTAGATTTAAATAAATACAACATGTCGGTCATTATATACTTCCACTCTGCTTTAACGAGATAATACATTTAAAAAAGTTCGCATATTATTTGTGTTCTGAAATTCGACTAGATATTTTGTTAATTTACTTCAAAGAATATTGCTTATGGTGACAACCTATAATTTACGACAACATCGTTTTCCAAAATCATTGGTCAGTAAAACTCGAAGCACATAGTATTATTATTTATTTCACCGCAACAGCATACTATATTTTTGTGGACAATGCGTTTATTTTTGTTTAAATAGAATTTATCATTTGAGATTTTTACACTATTCGTTGCAGTGAAGTATTTAAAAAATAAAATTGGAGAGATATATCTCCTCCCCTTGACTTTTTTAAGTACATATATTCGGTTTATATGGTTTAATTCTAATTTCTTTACGTTTTAGACAGATCAAAAATATATTGATACCTAAAATAATTAAATTAGTGCCTTTACCTACTATATTACCTAGGTTCAACGATCATTTTTGGACAGATTGAATTATAAATAATTACTAAAAATATAAAGAAGTGAAAAATCCATTTTTTTTTTTTTTTTAATTTTAATTTTTAGCTTTGTTACACGTTACACAATATGACATAATTTACAAATTATATATCTCCTTATTTGTAAAAATCCTAATAATACGTCACTGACGCGTTGCAATCAAATTTCCATACAAACGTTATCAGTTACTAGTTATTTCAATTTATATGTAACAGCGTAGAAGCCTACTCCGGAAACGATATTTTATGTAATTTTAATGTCAAATGTAGATTTTCGTAAATTTCGGAGTCGTGTTACCGTATTATTATTATAATAATATGCAAAGATAGTAGAATATTCGAATGCACACACACACGCACGTGCTGGTCGTGTATTAATACGATTATATTATAATTGTTTGGTATTATATTATTGTTATTTGTATTGTTTGTGTATGGAATGTGCGATACGTACTGTAATATTATAATCGAAATGAAACCGCTGGAACGTCGTTTAAAAATGGTGAAAAAACAATAATAATACTGTAGAAGCCTGTGAAATCTAAATCTCGGGATTCGAAAACTCGGGAAAATTTTACCTACAGTATTTTATCATCTTTGGTACCAGGGAAGAAGGGCTTAAGTCAATTTCATAAATACAAATTATAAACGGATTGGGAAAACTAGATAAAATTCCCTTTCAGAATAGAAGATATACTTGATACTTTGGAGCAAGAATTTAGAATTTTTGTATACAGTATAAAAAAATAAATATCATTGTAAAACTAATACTTTCCTCGCTCTGCTCATGATCTAAAATACTTAATTATTTAATTAAATATAAATACCTAATATTCTCATCTTTGAATTTGTCTATAATTCGCTCTAATATTAAAACCAACGACACAACAGCCTACTGAACGCAAATTTGCTATTTCGTGTGTTTTTATGACTGAGACAATAAAAGCATAACGTATAGCGTCCTCTTAAATGCATATTTGGTACATCTTGTAGCGCGTGGTTATCTATTTTCAAGTTTAGCGACCAGGCATACCGCGAGTATACCAATGACGTTCGCGCGCTGTGGCGGAGGACAGATGGTAAAAAACCGGTTCTTCCCGATTTCTTCCTTGCACTACAACTACACGACTATAGAAAAACAGTAACATATTATAATATTAATATTATAAAAAGGAATTAAAAACAAAACCTGTCGTGCCGGTGTAATGGCATCGACGGCGTTGGTGGTGGCGATGATGGTGGCGGTGAACCTCGCCCGTTCGGCCGAATATTATTACAATTAATAAATACATAATTTTTTCGACTGTTGTCAGTTAGCCAATTGTCAGCTTATTCCCAGTGGTTAAAGTGGAAAGACGGAAGAGGAAGAAATCTGCATAAATCTTATTTAAATTATTATCCGTTCCCTTCGGTGTTTTTAGTCTTAAAAGTCCGGAGGACGCTTTATAGTCCAGTCATTGAAGGGTTTATATCAAAAATAATTCCCAAAAAAAACCTTGCTTCTTCGGCATATATTTTTATAAAAGTCCCTGGTTTTTCTCCTTGTGCTTCTCCATTTAACCATTTTTAAATTCAATTTTACGAGCTTTTAGAAGTAAGTATACAGAGTTCTCCTGAACCACTTTATGAAACCAGGCTAGTTTTTTTTTCGTTTAGTGTTTTATGGATAACTGTGAAAAAATATCTTTATTTGTGATAACACAATATTCTTTGTGATTTATTATTAAAAACAAAATATCGGCGTTTAAAAAAATATTTTATACACATACAAATTTGTCCACAATTTTTTGCTTAACCTATAGAAAATGTTGTTTGTATAATATGTGTAATCAATATTTATAGATTTGAATGTATACGCTTATCCGTTTTATTTAATAATATGATGATCCGTAGGCCAGCATAAATGCAAACAAGTTATAGGTATTTTTTTTTAATGGCAATTTAACTAGAATTTGTTTCATTAAAAATAAATTGTGCTCGTTTTTGTACTTTTTTTTGTCCAAAAACATGCTTTACTGGGTTAAATCAACTGCCACGTTTTTTTGACGGGGCGATGAATGAAGACTTCTTACTTGAATTTTGAAAATAATTTTTATAAACTATATTATTTGAGTTTGAATGTGACTAATTTTAGATTCGGAGTGTTGAGAGGGATCTATTAGTTTTACTATAACGAGTGATTTTGTATTTTTTTTTTGTCCGAGCAACTTTTGTATCATATATCTTGCTCTAATGTATCAAGTGTAATACCTTTTGAAAAAGTAAATTGTATCCAGTTTGTTCACTGTCAAGATAGTTATTTGATTTTCCAATGAAAACCGGAAACAAAAGTATAAATAAAACGGCAAATATTTACGGTGTACAATTTCATTATTTTAAATTTGCACGCACGATATTTTCTATCAGAAATATTGTTCCAATTAAAAACAACAAGACACCTTCCTTGTTACATTTTTAATGTAGTTCGTGAGTAAGAATATTGTGGATGAAATTGTATGACCAAACAGAAATGCTTTAAAATTTAACATAAGGTCCATATAAATCGTATTTAGTTGTCAAGAAAAAAAAAATGGAGTTCATTATAGGTAGTATTGTTTTTATACAAATTTTGACGATAATCGTAAATATTACGGCCTTTTGAAACTTGAATAACCGAACTTTGCTCCGATTCGTTTCTTATTAGCATTGCATTGCAATGGTTTTTTCGTTGCTTACAGATATAAATTATATAACTATGTATCCTACCTTCCTCATTTCCCACCAACAGCAGTGGCACATCCAACACCAGTATCAGCTCTTTCATTTACTATTTGTTGAACTTATTTGTTTGTGGTTTTTGGTTATATAATCATTCATCGTAGTTCAGTGCGCTTCGTAGGTTTTCTTTAGAAAAAAAAAAATCATCGAAATCAGATATCTCTGCAAGTCAGGTGAGTTAACCCGTAAACCGTGTTTTTAGTAAAACATAGGTCGTGCACAGGCCCCTTAATATGCAAAATTAAAACTGATTGATTTTTTTGTTAAGAATTGTTAAGACTTTTTAATTATAAATGTTTGCAATTTGTAAAAAATCACGAGTAGGATCCTTAATATTTATTGGATTATGCATAATCATTAATTAGACTGTGATTTTACCGAACATTCGTAATATGTATAGTAAAATACTTTATACTTATAGGCCGCGCTTTGTTTTTATTAGTATACATTTTTTTATAAACACAATATGTGTGTAGGAGTAAACAATTTTAGAAGTCTTGTTTTGTCATGATGGTTTTTATTGAAAGTTCGGTTGTGTTAAATTAGTTCTAGGGAACGCCCCTCAATCTTTGGTAAATACATAATCTCAGAATTTGGTCACGAATCTTCGAAGTTTTTCCCATTTTATTAACCACTAGTTGTTTTTTATTTTTGATTATTAATCTAGTATAAATAATACGATTTCTTCGCGCGGTTTTTATTGTTTTTTTTTGACCCAGATTGGTCGAAAATTGTATTCGGCCGTTGCGTGGTTTTATTAAGGTTGACAGTGGTGGCACCGGTTATTGGTGGTTACCGGTGATGGTTATAGTGGTGATGGAGTAAATTTGAATGGTATTCTTTTTTCTCTCTCTCTCAGCGGTGACGCTAATATTAGCTTTTGGCTCGTCTAAGTTATGCGCACACTCTGCCCACGTACGTACGTACGTACGTAAGTGTGTGTGTGTGTGTGTGTGTGTTGATATACTTGCATATCACACCGCGCGGTGATTATTATACAGGGTGTTTCTTCTGCCGCACAAACCGGCGAACTATTTACAAAAATTACTAGTGAATTTTATTTCGGGATTGTATGTATAAGGCGTGTACAATATTTTCCAAATTATTATTTCGTACACACTACCGGAAATTATACATAACATTAATTACTACCTCATATTGATTTTCAAATAGCAACACATGGCACTTTTTAAACTCTCATACGAAAAGCGTAGGTTCCCTCATATTTACCTAACAATATTTTAATAGTATTTGCAAACCATCACTAATGTGACTTTTGGTTCCTATCGATTATAAGCTATATATTATTTATTTATTTTATTATAATGATTTAAAATTTAGACCGGATAAGGAAAGGGCGTGAAGGAAGGCGTTTAATTTCTATAGATAATCCAACCATCCCTACTCCTAAAACCAAAATCAAAAAAATGTTTTGTTATTATCGCTAGTTCGTGATTAAATAGTCACTCTGTATGTGTATTAATATATGTATCGTACGATTCCATTGACCTCGCTAAGCTCCTCGTACACACTCTACATATTTATTATACGTATTTTCTGCTCCGTCCAAATATATTGTTATGATTTGTATTTATAAATTTGGTCTGTTTGTTACGTTTCAGTGGACGATACAATCATCGAGATGAGTCCCAGCCACAACGAGAACAAAAGTGAGTACATATCGATTTTTATTATCTTGATAATGTAATACCTATATTATAATTAGGATTTTGCATTAGAAAAACTAAACAGCTTTTAGAAGAAACCACCGAAAATATCTGCCCCCCCTAACTTTCAAAGCCCTAAAATAACAAAAAACTAGCTTAAACGCACCAATGTGTATAGATTTAAAAAAGAAAAAAAACACTAAATTGCAATATTTTGAAAATATAATAAATAAACATGCGTCTTGTATTATACCCGTAGATAAGAAATATCTATATTCTTATTTTCAATTTTCATAATTACTTTCCAATAAAAGTTCGCAAAAAAATAAACAGAAATTATTAAAAACACCATAAAATGTTTAAAAAGTAAAACAAAATGATTTAAGTCATTCAAATTTAATAGTGTTAAAAAATTTAAATGAAAATTTTAAAATTAAATTCATTTTTACATAACATGTATATTGTACTTAGAATATGTTGAGTTAAGCAAAAAAAAAAAAAAATAAATATTTGCTACAAATACACAGTCTAAATTATAATATAATTGCACATAATAGTTATGAAATGGGGTTGACCAGTCGCCTTTAGGTTCTAGTCTAAGTCAGGTTTTGCTAGGTAGATAGGTAGACTCTACTGTATAGTACACAGAAAAAAATAACATGTTTTTTATTTATAGAAATATTAAGACACACATGAGCATCGGAGCTTCGTCACTCATGAGTCGAATTTTCCCCTAGCCTACTTGTTGCCGTTACAATATTTCATCCTCGACAACAATTCTATTTATATACACACATTTTAATCCAATTACTTATTATTATGAGTCTGTGAGGGTTTTTCAAACCCGGCATTATTTCCTGTGAAAACATGAAATGTGAGCATACAATTGGTCAGGGAGGGAATTTAAAGTTGAAACTATACTAAAAGGCAAATCTTTGATACACTTACTCTGTGCATATGTACAAAATTTCATCTTTCTGATTTCATTTTGTGGATCTGTAGTGGTGTACGTAGCTGAAGAAACAACACTTTTTTCTTCAACAAGATGGCGAAATTCATATCTAAATCCAATTTGATCTCTTCAATCCGCCTATAAAAAAACTTTTGAAGTCATTAGGGAGAGTCGCTAAAAGTACTGGGAATAGAATATCCGAATATTTATATACATGTATAACAGACATAATACAGTGCAATATTTTTGCAACGTAATATTCTACTAAGTTTGTCTTCGAAAATATACGCGGCGTGTTAAAAAGTCACCAAATTTGTCTAATCTCCTTCTACAGTGGTTTGCAGAAAAAATTGTGTATAGGTAGGTTGGTATACAAACAAAATTGTTACACGATGACAAATTAAATAAAAAACATTTCACTCCATTGGTCCACTGTTGTAAGTCTTAAATTGAGAACTTAAATTATATTGATGATTTAATTTATATTTGTACGCAACAATAAATCGTTTTTAACAAAAAACCATTCTAAGCGAAATTCGGTTAAACATATTTTGTTTTTTAAATATAAATTTAAAATTGTGTTACTTTGTACCTGCAAAAGAAAGAACATTTAACATTTATTGTGCGTGTTTTTTCGTCTCAAATTGTAATTTTTACAAAAAGATTTTTTATATTTTTTATGTTCATAACAATAGATATCATAAATATTCAATTTTTGAGTATTGTTTGGGAAGCCCAATTAATTTTATCTACGTAAAACCAAAAACATGAAAATGTAAAATGGACAAAATATTTTTAAAATTTGACAATGTACAAAAGTGATAATATAATTAGTATTTGGTGGGATTTTCAGAATTCGATTATTATTTAATTGAATTGCATACAAAATAAAATTAACAAAATAACAGAAACTGTTATTGTGTACATTTTACCATTTTGTTCCTATTATTAAGAAAATTACAAGTTAAATAAAAAAATTACTTCTCAATATATCAACTAGATCCAAAATTCTACAAGAAAGTTCCCATAAGATTTTTATTGGAGCAAGATATCTGATTGAAATGTGATTTGTAGATAAAAAAAAAAAATATAAAAAGTGCTCATCACTACTCTCAGAATATAAAAAAATGATGTAATTTTTTTAATACCTACCTTATTTGCATGACTGTTAGATAAACAAGTGTGTTTTTATAATTATTAAAATAATAAATACAAAACAAAATGTTTTTAAATATACAGTTAAGACTTTTTAATGTTAAAAAATGTGTACTCTGTAGGTACTTGAAAATATTACTGTACTATAAAAGTTTTGAATATCGGTTTCTATGGGTAAATGTGGATTGATTATACCACTAAGGTGTAAATAGGGGAGAATTTACTGTTTTAATAAGTATGGAGAGTTGTAAGTGATTACATATTATTTTTACTATTTTAAATTATAGTCAATTACCGCATATACTGAGTATTGGACATAAGTACACTGCACTATATAAATTATGTACCTAATAACATTTAGTACGCATAATATAAGAGGACAATATAATATTATAAAATTAACTATTGTTATCTATGTCGCTCATCCACGTGGCCACGTAAAATGGCAAAGAGCTTTAGATTAATTTCAATATGTGTAAAGTGTATTGAATTATTTTAATCTTTATTAAAATAAAATATTAAGATTTTTTTGTTGTTGTTTTATCGTAATTTATTTAAATACAATAATGTAATTATACTTTTATTTTCACAATCACTTATGCCTAGGTATTATTTGATATTTCACGGTACACAAAAAAAAATAAGGTTCACCTAATTTAAGTGAATAAAAACATCTAATGAAGGTTACTTAGTATTTTTTTTAATGAAATAATGATATTGTATGATAATATAATTCATAGGTAATTTTTATGTAAAATAATTATAATTACAAGTGCAAAATACAATGATGAAAATTTTATATTAATTATGGTTTATTATGGTTATTATACCTTTGGTAATGTTCATAACTAATAAATATTAATTATATAATACAAACTTACAATCAATTTAAAAAAAAATTAAATCATTAATCAATTTTTTATCAATTGAACTTCTTATTTTTTTTAAAATAGCTAATTGAAATATTGTATTTTTACTTCTTGTAATCTATGTATGGTAGAACAAATTAAGAATTTTGATGAAAAATCATAAATACATTTTCTGAATAGTTAAATGATAATATATTAGGTACATAAATATATATAAATATATTTTAAATTATTGTAATACCTTATATTTTTTTTCATTAGATGTAATGTGTCATCCAGCAGACAAATCTTTGCCAACAGCTCCTTTATCAGCTGGTAAATACTTGCATAAAAAGTTCAAAAAAGTTGCTACAGCTGACGATTGCCCTGAAGTTGCTGTTCCTGTGCCCGTATTGACCACAGAAGAATATTCTGTTGAAGGTGTATGGCGACATAAATGCCCATATTGTAAAACTGTATGTACCAAACCAAGTGCACTAGCCAAACATTTGCAAGTGCACTCCGATGAACGTCCATTTCCATGTGAAACATGTGGATTTGCCTTTAAAACAAAAAGTAATTTATCAAAACATTGTAAATCACAATCACACACAGAACGATTGGCTAAAGAAGAACCGGAAGAAGCTAAGCCAAAAATATACAAACCAAAATTTCGCTCAGCTTTAATATATACAAAACTGGAAGAGGATAGATCGAAAAATACTGAATCAGTTAAGGAAATAGTGCAGGTATCATCATATAAACAAGATGAAGATTCTTCTCAGCCTTTAAATTTATCTGTAGCTTCAATTAAAAAATGCTATGATAAAATGTCCCCTTTTGAAAATGGCCAAACCGAACTAAAAGGAGTATACAAATTACCATTGAATCAGATTATTAAATCCAACGGAATTAAAGATCAGCCATTTTGTGAAATGTGTGGTTTAAAATTCAATAGTCAAGAAGACTTGGTCAGACATATTTGTGACCGGAGTCCAAATGGAATTAAACTTCCTGATTCCAAAATTGTAGCTATGCCACTTCCATCACCTGGTCCTCTATTGGGACGAACACCTTTAGTTGAGTTTCACAGATCCAAGGAACCTGATATTTCAAAACCAGTTTTGGTGCGTATGAGTAATTTAGTACAACAACAGGAAGTGCTTGCCATTTTCCAAGGAAGTCGAGCAATACCTTTTGTGCCTGGAATGCCTGGTCCACATACAGTAATGTCCCCTCAACTTCGACCACAGTATGAACCAAAACAGACTGATCCGCCTCCTCCGAAGAAACCGAGAATGGACGAAGATTTCATAATTTCAACATCACATCATCAGGTAATAATAATAATAACAATAAAATAATTTATACAAATTAAAAGGTCTAGATACATATATTTAAAAATATTTAATTTAAATTCATTGTCCTTGTAAAGCAGCACAAATATAACTTCTATTGTATGTGTTTTGTGACTTTTATTGAATAACATTTTTGATTTGATAAAATTCAAATTAGTTTATTTTGTTTATTATATTTTAAAAGTATCAATTCGTGGAAGTATTTTTATATTTGAAGTCCATCCAAAAATGAAAATTGGCGGGTTAATTCTCAGGGTCACATAGAGGCATAATTATTAAATAGTTTATTGAGCTCATTTATTTGTTATTATTTTTCATTCTAATTTAATTTATGCTAATTAAACGTCTGTTTTTTTTATTTATACAACACTTACTTGTGAATATAAAATACAATTTTATTGGTACCAATGGTACTTATTATTTTGACATGTAAATTATTTGAGAGAATTGAACCATTATATTTCATTTTGCAGTAAATTCATATTAAGGTTGCATTAAACCTATATTTACTGTCTAACAAGTTAGGTAACAATTATGTTTAAAGAGAAATTAAAGAAAATAATTTTTTTAAGGGCCTCTTATAGTTTCTGAAATATAATCTAACAAAAAAGTTAAAAGTTTAAAAATATTATAAAATCATCTTACAATTACTCTGTAGCCGTTTAGGATAATATTTTACGTAATAAAAAAAAAAAAAAAAAAAAAATTGGTTATAATTATTACTGCTGGAAACATTAAATGTGTTTATACTTTTTTAATTATCTTGATTTATTTATCGAGTAAATTTATTTTACTGGTAAATTTTCATCTATTTATTTTTAATTAGGTTTATGTATATGTATGTAAACAATCTTTTGTTGTTACTTTTGTATTTTAGTACCTAGTTGGCATTGAAATTAATAGGGTTTGTGTAGTTTTACATTTTTAATAACCAGTAAATTATGCAAGTTAGAATTCATGACCCATTTATCACCTTGAGTAATGATTCAGTTATTGTGGCTAGTTTAACACACATATGACTTAATATATCTACATAATAATATAGTCTTGAATAGTGGCGTATTTATGACTTATTTTTTGGTGAGTAGAGGGCTGCATTATAACAATTTAGATGACCAAATTCATCAAAATCATATCAAGTGCAATGTTATTATAGAATTTGTGTGTTTACAGGGGAGGGACTCCCTAACCTTCTTGTAAATTCTCTACTAGTCTTAAACATTTGATAAATTTAATTACATATAATTTATTTTTCACACAATATACATTGTAAATTTATATTAAATAGGTACAATTTATATTAAATTTATTTTTAATTGACAAAAATGGTTTTTACAGATTTTAACAACTACTGTAACGTCTGTAACTACTACTACAGTGGCTCAGAAATTTGTACGACCAACATCATTAGCATTCAAACCAGGAACGTTCTGTACTAGTCGCTTGTTGCCTGTGGTTAGTCCAGATACACCAAGACCAAAAAAGAGCTATCAACAGTTGTATTTAAATGGTCACGCTTATACATATCTTGGATTAAAATGTTCAACAAGAGTATTTTATTGCACACTGACCAAATGTCAACCTACATACACAATACTTCCAGAAGTGAATACTATATCAATGTACTCAAATTGGAAGGTAAATATTATTGAATAGAAATGGATAGAAAATAAAATAATGTTAATGTGTAAATTCAAAAAAATGAATTATTCATTTATATCATTTTAGATTTGTTCTGATATGGGAAGTAATATGTTAGGTGTTCGAGGTATGGACTTATATAATTCAACCCAGCGTAATCATAAATATACTCAAGCTGGTCAATCTCATGACTATATAGTTGCTCATTCTTCTTACAAGCATCAAAAAGTATGTGACTCCATGGGTAAATTAAAAATTTGTCCAGGAGGTTTTGAATCCAATGAAGATTATGTATATGTAAGAGGCAGAGGAAAAGGGCGATATGTATGTGCTGACTGTGGTATACGTTGTAAAAAACCTTCAATGCTCAAGAAACATATCAGAACTCATACAGACTTAAGGCCGTATACATGTACACTTTGTACATTCAGGTAATAATTGTAGAAAAATAATTTTTTAATGTAACATTAGTTTTCATATTTTATTTTGTTTCTATAGTTTTAAAACTAAAGGAAATCTGACAAAACATATGAAATCTAAGGCACATTTCAAAAAAGGTGTTGAACAGGAACAGGATCAAAATCATATGTCCATGGATGATATCAAACAACTCGATTCTGAAGATATGGAAGATTATTCAGAAGACAATATGGATGAAGATAGTGATGATGAAGATGATGACGAGGAAGTGGTAGATAAACTGGGTTGGCGTAAAACTCAATCAGATTTTGATGCTGCACGTTCGCTATTAAGACTTTCACAAGTCTGTCCATCACAAATATCTCAATCAAATCATGCAAAAGCAGGAATTTTGCCCTATGATCATCGACCAGTATCATATCCATATCTATCTCCCTTATTAGTACCTGAGCCTGAAGGTCTAAACAATCATCAAAATCAAAAACCAATTAGCTCACCCTTACAATCTGGAAACCGTGTTCAAATTGTCGAAGTATCTCCTGTGGTTCAACCTACAACTATAGTGAATAATACAGAAGTAATTAGAAAAACACCCACAGATTTGAAGCATAATGTAAATTCAATTTTAAACAATAGCCCAAAAGTTGTGGCCAATAAACCAATAGATCTTTCACGCTTTGGAGGTAGTAAGGAACCAGAACAAATAAATAAATCACACGTTGTAGTACAATCTCCGAAAAAACCTAAAGCATTATTTCGACAACCTACAACAAATGGTCCATCACAAAAATATACTAGGTGTTTATTAAATATTATTAAATTGCTTCATACAAAAGTTAATTACAATATTTTTGATTTTCAGTATTCTTGAAGATGGACGAAGTAAATGCATGGTGTGCGATAAGGTGTTCAACAAACCTAGTCAATTACAATTACACATCAATATACATTATTTTGAGCAACCATTCCGATGTGAAAGCTGCAAAGAATCATTCCGAACTAAACATTTGCTTCAAAAACATTTGGATTCTAGCTCGCATTTGAATAAAGTAAAACTGTTTACTAAATTTTCAGAGAATGTAATAAAATAATAAATATTATTCATTCATAGGTGAATATGATGTCAACCCAAGGCCCTGTTATTAAAAATCCTAGACCATTTGAGTGTGCTGATTGTCAAGTTGGTTTTAGAATCCATGGACATTTAGCTAAACATTTACGATCCAAAATGCATATCCTTAAATTAGAATGCTTGGGAAAGATACCTTTTGGAACATATTCTGAAATTGAACGTTTAGGGTTGAATTTGAATGATATTGATACAACCGACTGTGACAGTGCACTCAAGAGCTTACAAGCTAGCCAAAAAGCCATATAACCAAATAATCAACCAGAGTATGTTAACATTTTATCATTTTGATGTTGTTATTTTAATAGTGTGAAATTAATTTTGCAGGTTAATATTAAAATTGAATAAATGTTTGTGTGAGATTTATGAAGTGCTCAACACGAAAATAAAGACTGATCTCTAGAGTTCGAGGGGTCGAACAACTAGAAAACTGTGATAAAGTTACATGAAACCACCCTAAAGGTTTAGCCTAATCACAGACCACTAAAAAAAAACTGAGCGTTTATACAATATTTTTTACCCAACCTATGAATATAAATTTAATTTATATTTGAAAATGGGCATGTAGAAAATAATTTTATTAATGATATCTAATATATAAGTTATTATATAAGTTTAGTGAATATGTAGTAATGTAGCCAATTAGATTTGGTCAAAATTGTGTAACATATTAGCAAAAAAAATGGAACCATGTAGCCTGTTTAATTATGTCAATTCTCATGATGATCTTCCTTATTTTATTGTTTTATTTATGTTTTGGTTTTTATTTTTTAAGTATTTAATTACAATTTTTAATTATATTGTAAAGTATTTTTTGTGACATAACAATAATGCTCAGTTGAATTGTGGATATGTGTATTGTGTATGTAATGTATTATTTTTTGGTATAATGTTACTGAAATTTGAAAATATCTATTGAAAACCCACTTAATTCAAATAAATCCAGTAACTATTGAAACCATACATTTTCTTAATTATTTATGATTTTATGTACATATATTTACTATTAAATTAAAATGTTAATGAATATTTATAATTTTATGCTCTGTACAGCATAAATGTATAATTGTCTTATAAATTTAAGAAAAAACTTCTTTTAAATAGTGAGTGTACAAACAAAAATGTCCTTTAAATATTTATGTTAAAAAATTAGAGAATGATAGTATTTGTATTATTCAAGCACAATTCTAGATTAATCATCCTTATAAGACCAATTAACAACAGGTTTGCTTTATGACAGAGCTTCCAAATTTTTTTATGTTAAAACCCATTTTGGTAATAATTTAAAAATGTGTTACAAAGTGTTTGTAAATCGGAGCAAGATTTCTGGTAGAAAAGTTGTTCGGAGATAGAAACAAAAAATATGGTTATATAACCAATACATTCCCAACTCCACTTAGAATCTAAAAAATGTATGATTTAAAAATATAATGCGACCCACATTGACATTTTTAATTTCTGTCAATCCATTGACGAAATATTCCACTTTTAACTTTGGGTCGAAGGAGAGTAGTTGTACATTACTAAAACTTCGTACGCTGTGCCATCACATAAATGTGTGCAAAGGACCATAAAAATCATTTTAACCACTACTCCATTTAATGTATGTCTGTTATATACATTAGGAAGTTGGTTCATATTGTTCAGAGAAGGTTTATAGCTATTGAAATCTGCCCTTCATTGAATACTATTCTGTTAAATTCAGTTTTTAGGTATTTTTAGTAAACAAATGTAATTATTTTTGTTGATTTATGGGTTACCTTAGTAACACGAGGAGAAAAAAAACATTGTTATTAGTTTTTGTGGTGCTGTGTATAGTAATAGCATGCAATGATAATTTATCTTTTAACTTTGTTTAGAAATATTTTTATTGCACAGGCAAAGTCGTATGGGACTGCTTATAATATAATGTAAACAATAAATATTAAAACATTAGTTTATTATTTTCAATATATTTTATATTTTTAATAAGTTATTACATTGAATATCTTTTAAATTTTGTTTTTGATATTTTTTTAATTGAGTCTATTTTTAATGTTTAAAAATAGATTCATACAATTAAAAATAGACTCACAATTTGGACACTAATTTATGACTCGTACATAATAATAGTTCATAACTAACATAGGATGTTAACAGTATTTTAAATTAATGTTAATAAAACAAAACTTCACTACAACATTCATTAGAAAGTTAATTTACAAAATTTGAATGATTCATTATATTTTTAAAACGTGTTTGGGATAAACTTGTGTTATTAAGATTCTAAGTAAATAAACTCAACAAGATTCATACTTTCATGTATTTTATTTTAAAAATTGTATAGGATATGTTAGATAAATATAATTTACTGTCCAATGTTTATTGTAAAATATTACAAGGGGGCATTTTTAAAATTTTTCACTTAGATATATGATTGTATCTAATTATGCAATGATTAAAAAAAAAATTGTTTAAGAAAAACAATTATAATAAATTTACAACCAATTATTCATAAAAAAGTTTGCTTGTAAAGAATGAGGACCCACAGTGAAATTTAAAAAAATTAAGTAGGTACCTATAACAAGTTTAGTTTTAACACTTAAAAAATTACAAGGTTATGTATTCATCATATTTTTTTTTCAATGTATGTATGTATATGCATTGTGCACAACACCAGTAAATAATATATATCGTATATCAGTGGTAGATACGTAGGAGGGGGTGGTGGTAATGGTTCACATCTCAAAATTTCTTTCAATCAAAATGATTTAACTTAGTTTTAAAATTTAAATATTTTTAAACTTATGTTCTATTATTTTAAACAGAACCTCTATCTCCATGAACTAACATTGTGTGTGCTATTTTTGCAGTTCATTGTATTATAGTATCATAATAGTGAATCTTCAAAATATAAATTGAAAAACAATGATCTATTACGATAATAAATAAAACTATATTTATTTAAAAATAGTATAAAAAAAGAAGAAGAATATTTTAATGGGGAATACATTTAAAATTATTTATTAACTCTTCTTTGTCTAAATTTTTATTTTACTTAAAAAATATTCTAATTTAATTTTGATGCGCTGAATTCGGGAAAAATAATTTAAAAAAGAAAATTGTAATACCTAACCTAACCTAACCTATCTAAAGTACTAAAATAAACTTAAGTAAAATTACCGCGTTATTAATTATTTGTGTGTTATGAATAAATGCAAATGTTCATATATACCTTATAATAATTTTAAGTTCCATCTCCGATGATTTAAAATAGCATTTTTCACTTAAAACACATTTTTTTAAATCAAGAAAATAAAAACCATAAGAGAGAAAAACCTTTAAATTACGTTATCAAGTTTGAAACACGTTACAAAACAGGAATTGATAACGTTTGCATATGCGTATCAATATGGAACATGTATAGATTCGATTCATTAGACGGCGTTACTCATTTTTTATAATCCGTATGTAGTGTGGAAACATTATTTTAACATGTTACATATTTGCTATAATGGCATTGAAGGGTTAAGATGGATTTTTGAAATTTGAAACATAGATAATCATCTTCAGTTGCTTAGGACAATATAAAAAAATGGCTAATATAGGATTTTTTTAAAGAGGAGAATTTCAAAATGTGAATTTCGTTAGTGACTCACTTATCATTAAAATTATAATGCACTTTTCGTATTAGTAGAAACGTGAAATTTGGTTTAAGTGTATGTACAGGTGTAAATTCTCAAAATTGCAATTCTCTTAAAATGAGTGTCGCTTTAGGGAGAGTAGTTCTATTTGATTTGAAAACGCAAATAAAAAATAAAAAATAATAATTTCATTAAAACGTTACACGTTCAAATTAAAATTTATATTCTGAAATTATGTTCAAATTTTGTCCGAGTTCAATCGCTTGAGAACTTACTTGCTTGTGAATTGATCAGAATAGGGTTTTAAAAGCACAAATTTCCGCCTCGGATTTGTTTCACCGTCCCTTTTCTAAACAGTGTATTTGGTTTCTGTTTTTGACTTTTCCCAGAAAACTTCGATGCAATGAAGGTAAGTACCATTCTTAATTATAATATTAATTCAGCGGCGACTCAAAATTATATCTTATGTGAGATAATGTTCTGTTTCCGGGAATAATGGGAAACTGCTAGGAATGTGATCATTTATAATGTTTTTTTTTTATCAAATATATTTTATACAAGAATAAGGCATCAATGCATTGATCTCTCGTGTCATCCAATGTTTCAATCATTTACATTGGTTGCAGCTTATAAAATTTGAAAAAGTAATTATTTTCCTAAAAAAAAGAAATTTTGTACTCGAAACAAAATAACAATAAATTAAATATATTCAAACTTTATTATACTAAAAATATAACAAATAAATAACTGTATAAAATAAATGTTCCTTTCCTTTCAAAATATGTAATGGTACGGATTTATTCTGTAATCTGTACATTCATACAATAAATGTTTTAAGTACCTACTTTAGAGTTTTAAGCTTGTTCCCGTGGGAACGGGTATAGTCAGAATAACGTTGCGTACAGGTATACATTAAATTTCTCTACCACCTTCCGAACTTCTCAATTAAAATAATGGTCAACCCACGTGCGAAGTATATCATTCTTTTTTTTCTACGTTTTTCCCATTTATTATGAACATTTCCAGGAAAATCAAAATATAACCTCCTTAAAGTACTATCCTTGTGAGATTTCCTTTTAGAAAAAGTGCACTTGAAAATCGGAGCAAAATTCCCGGTAGAAAAGTTGTTCACAGATGAAAAAAATAAATACAAATTATTATTATAAAGCCAATAAATTTCTCTCTTCACTTAGAATCTAAAATTGTATACCTATCAGTGGCGTATTTACGATTTTCTGGATGAATGCTGTGTTTAAAGTAATATTTTGACTAGCAATAAGTTTGTTCTTCCATATTTTTAATTCGGTCAATGTTATTATCTGGATTTTTTGAATTATTCTATTATATGTCTTCATTGTTCAGTTTTGAACTCAAAAATCCAAGTCCTAAACATTTTGATTGATTAATAATATCCGAGGTATATATTATAATATATAATGAAAACCTATTTATTATATATAGAAAACGCCAATAGAATATTGAATTCCCCATATCGTCCTGAAATATGCTTACCGTCTTCGTATCATTCTCGATCGCATCTAATCATCTCTTTTTCGGTCTTCCTTTCCCCTCTTTCTTCCTACGTTTATTTTCAATTTGTATTACAATTCTTATTGCTTCTGGTTCCTCATGACATGCCTAAACTATCTCAGTCTATTTTCTTTTATTTTGCCTATAAAATAAACATTATAATTTCATAATAAATTCAATTATTATTAACTATTAAAATATAGTCATTTATAATTTTGTTTGTCAAAAGAAACCTCTAAAACATCTAAAGACTATGAGAACACATTTAAGAAATATCATTTTCGGAGTTTTGGGACAGATGACGTGCATTGAAAATGGTGTTTAAATTTAAATATTGAATTTGGCTTGAATCATTTTCAGTATAGGTACCTACCATATTATATTTATGGTTTTGTATTTAGTCTTGTATTAAACAAATTGTTTACATTGTTTAATCGTGAATTCGAATATTTCATAATATTGGGTAGATAGAGGTTCCTACCTTAGATTGTTTGTTTTGAGTAAATTTCGATGTTACTTTTTTTCATAACATACTTATACAAATCATACATATGAAATATGATTCAAAATTTTGCTTACACAAGTTTAATCATATTCCTCATTTCGTTTTCAAATACTGGATTTTATATTGCGTTGCTTAAACTACTGTATAAAGTTATGTTTCGATTTTAAAATGTAATTTATTTGTTGTTATTAAGCAGAAAAATATCATGATTATAATAAATTTAATTAGTTTTTATTTGTTAGTATTACTTACGCAGTTCCTACACTTATGTTTTACAAGTGGTAAATTTACAAATATAAGTGTTGATATCATAACATTAGGTACTACTGAACGGAT